ATGTTCAATTCAAAAAGCTCTCTGCTCTTTTCTAATCTTAACCTTCATCTCATTAGGAAATGGACACTTGATAAAAACTGTCAGTAAACTCTTGTTGGCCTGTCAGACTACTGTAGCTTGCAATATCGCTCAATCGTTGGGACTTTTAGTGTTGGGCCTAAAGTGAACTAGTGAGTCGTGATACAAAAATAGGGACGTGGCTGAACATGGGTTGTTTTTTACGCGCTATGTAGAACAAAACTATTCTGTAGATTTATCTAAAATGAATGTCAGACAGATTCTTTTTAACTCCAAAATGTTGAGTACAAATTTGCAAGAACATTTGGAGAAAAATATTTGCTCAAAAAAATTGTTTAGTTTTTGTTTTTTGGATCTCCCTGTATTGAAAAAGTTAAAACAAATCCCCCCCCCCCCAACCCTTTTCCCTTTCTCCACACACAGCCCAGGTTCTGATGTACTTCCCAGTCGCTGTGACCGGTGCCTTGGTCTACGGGAAAACCGTTCAAGCCAACCTGTTGCTTTCCATCAGTCCTGGGCCTCTGCTGTACATGGTTCAAATCCTCATCACGTGTCATCTGGTCTGCAGTTTCGTCATCTGTCTCAACCCAGTGGCCCAGCAGCTGGAGGAGTTGCTGAAACTTAAGAAAAGTTGGTTTAAATTTTTAACTTCCAGTGTTTTACACCCCCCCCCCTCCCTCCCTCTTCTACACACTTTAGATCCTTTTGGAGGCCGGCTTCCAACTCTGTCTGTCAGGGCCAATGGGGGCTGAGAGGGATACAACATCCCAGCAGAAAAAACGACCTACTCAATTGGAATTTCCTCCCACTCTTTTCAGCCAGGAGCAAAATAGAGCCCTATACAAGACCTACGTTGCTCTAACAAAGGCCTATGATACTATTAGTGTGGAAGGCTTAAGAAGTACGGTTGTCCGCCACATCTCATTACTATGGTTCGCAAATTTCATGACGACATGAAAGCTAGAGTCAAGAGCAATGGTGATACATGCATTTGTGAAAGCAGGACTGCGTGCTGGCACCAACACTCTTCCGCATCATGTTCTCAGCGATGACCATTAGGAAGCTTTCCAGAGCTCCCCTGCTGGCGGTTTATGACAGGTTCAGGCTGGACGGTAAAATCTTCAACCTTGATAGGCTGCAGTCAAAAACAAAAACTAGTATGATGCATGTCTGTAAACTTCTATTTGCCGATGAATGTGCCTTGCTTTATTATGTAGAATCCAGCAAGCAAAACTATTTTTCATTTTTCAAATGCATATGAGAACTTTGGACTAACAATACGCACAGCAAAGACTGAAGCTCTCTTCCAGCCTGTCCTAGGTGATACGCAGACCCTCCCTCCTAAAATCTAAATACACAGTATAACACTGAAAAATATTGATAGCTTTAAGTATCTTGGCAGTGCACTATTTTCAAATGTCCCCATCGATGCAGAAATAGCTTTACGTTACGTATGAATAAAGCAAGTGCATCCTTTGGAAGACTTAGAGCAAGTGTCTGGGACTGCTTTGGCCTTTGCACAGAGACAAAGTTGGAAGTCTACGATGCTGTTGTCCTCCCAACCCTGTTGTACGGTGCTGAGACCAGGACAAGGTACCAAAGTCATGCAAAGAAGCATAACCATTTCCATATGAAATGCCTCAGGAGAATTCTTGACATCAAATGGCAGGATAAAATACCAGACACCGAAGTTTTCAAAAGGGCAAATGCGATAGAATCTTCATTCTAAGCTAAAGCAAACGACTCAACTTCGCTGGGCTGCCATGTCGTAAGAATGCGTACTTTCAAGATCCAAAGTTAGTGTTCAAATCTTAACTGTCCACAGGGAAGCGTAAGGTTTGCGCATCAAAAAGGCGCTACAAAGACACCTTGAAAATGTCTCTTTAGGACTTCAACATAAATACTTCGACATGGGATCTGAACAACAGAGATTTATCTTATATTATCCTGTCTCCATTTTCTTCTTTCTCTCATTTAACCCCCCCCCCCCCCCCTTTCTCTCTCTCTCTCTCTCTCTCTCTCTCTCTCTCTCTCCTCTCCTCTCTCTTTCCTCTCTCTCTCTCTCCCCCCTTTCCTTTCTCTCTCGTTCTCTCCGTCTCCACAGCGTTCTCCTGGCACCGAATCGTCTCTCGCTCCCTCATGGTGGCCTTCGTGTTGTTTGTCGCTGAGACTATCCCAAAGTTTGGCACTCTCCTCTCCCTGATCGGAGGCAGCACAATCACGATGATGGCCTTTGTCTGTCCGCCATTGTTCTACCTCAAGCTCTGCTCTATGAAGGGACATTGGCCGCAGATGTGAGTAGATACAGGGATGAAAAAGCACATTGAGATCAATAGTTATGTTGAATAGAAAATGTGTTTCTGTTGGAATGTACACAGCTTCATGTCTGATAAATAAAAGTCAATAACTGTACAGAACAGGTGAGCTTACTTCTATGACAGACGTCGTATAAGCACAATATCATAATCTCCATCACTCCCCC